GTGTTTCTTCAACAAATTTGTTAAGATTTGGACTTGATGGAAGTTCTCTTTACGTAGTCGCTTCCCATTTTCAATTTACTATTGGTGCTTCCAAGTGGCAACTTAGGAATATTTCTTCGTCTAATTGTTTTCGCTTTTATCTTCTGACTAGCGAAATATAAAAACCACAACATATTTCCTAATTAATCTCGACATTCCATTAATTTCATCAATAAGTTGTCTGTTATCCCTTTTCTATATGGAAGGTAAAGAGTTTGAATATCGTGTTATAGAGTGAAATGGAAAAAGAGTGACTCCTGTGGGAACCATTGAGTAGTTCTTGAAAAAAGTATGACAATCCAAAGTTTACATCAGCACAAATAATATAGAAGAAATAGCACAATTATGTATAATTGATCAAACGTTGCGTTCAATGCATTTTTCAATTTACACTTGAGTTGATAGAACAGTCGCCCCAAGTAGTAAATATCTAACCAAGTCTAATTTGAGAAATATTATTCATTATCTTATATACTAGCAATAAGTAACTCTCTACATTTTGTCGTCGGGATTTGTACATCATTGCCAAGCCAGAGAACATTTGGGTTCAACAGACATTGTTGATCGATTTACAGGTCTCAAAGTCGTAAGTTTGGGTGAAAGTGGACCATAAACTCTATGGGAAGGAATTCGAAAAGTACTCTTGTAAAAATGACCAAGGTGGAGCCAATGTCTAGGGCGTTCATAATCATAAACAAAATTTGGGATGAACGGACCAAAATATTTGAGACATCTGTGGCATAAGTTTTGTCATTTCGTTAATCATTTATTTGGATCTTGAGGAGAAGCTTCAATTGTGTTCATTTACAGCTTGAGACCTTTAAATGGACGTAAGTGAATGTTGACTCATTTTCTATGCTTGGTTTTTCGACGTATTTTCAAATTTCCACACCTTTTAAGAATATTTCGGAAAAAGAATTAAAAAAAATAAGGGAAAATTGGGAATTCAAAATGATTGTTGGTATTAGGTGTCAAATATTTGTCCAATTCGACACTACCTATATTTGGATTGTTACACTGGTAAGTAAGTATCGTACAAATTCAAATGGACATGACGCAATTTAAGGCTATGCAGACATGAGGGAACCGCTATCAAAGTTGAAAATATTTTATGTAGTGATAACAAGGCTTGCATTCAGTTGCCTAATAGAACAGAATTAGAATCGGGATTAGGATGCAGGGGGCCTGATAAATGTTGGCATGCTGTGCGATTCTTCTATTGCCAATTAATACTATTCTGCAACAATATCTTCAACTAATCAAATCAAATCATGGCATTTGGTATGTCTCTTTATATAGTCGATAGTATTAATTATACATCAAATAATAATCCTAAATTAGGCCTATGCATTTCATGCATTCCGTCCATCTTCAATTAAAGGAACTAGTTTGGACCTTGTCGTAGGACATGGGGTTGTGATAGTACAATTGAGACTATAAGTGACGAGGTTTTACCAATGTATTGAAACTTTCGACTTGAAATTATTTCTGAATTTGTGTATTACATAACTTATTGGATTTTCTTTTCTTTCTTTTTTTGGATAGCGAGCACATAGGATTTCCTTTTCAAATCACTAGTTGATCATGTGACATAACGTTAAATTTTTAATCTTCTTACTTGCAAGCTTTCGATCGTAGAATAATGAGTCGTGCTTAGTCACTCACATACTAAGCCGTTGAGCTTTTTTTTCTATATTATCTAGTCATTTCATTCTGAAGAAGCTTAATACTGTGCTAAGGAAAAATGCACACTGGTAGAACCGTAAGCTAAAAATGTTAACATGAGATAAAAAGCTAAACACCAAATGAAATAAAAAGGAAAATGGACATTGGGAAACCCGTTGGCCAAGAATTTCTAAATGTGACACTGAATATATAAACCTGCAATGTCACCCACTCGGGAGGAGCCAACTTGTAAGTCCATGAAAAGGAAAAAGAAGGGCCAACAGAATCACCTCGTGTATGTAATGAGATGATTTAACATAATCACCCAATTCATATACTATAGATTCTCCGGTCATTGTTGATATATCAAATGTCTGAATATGCTTATTAGTTCCATTCAAATCGTGATACAGGGTCTCACCCAATTCTAGTCTTTCGTAAAACGTGTGCATCTAATCTTCAGCCGACCTTACTCCGAGCATCAGTATTGCTCGTTGGTTTTCTTTTCAATTTCTTATTTACTTGGAAAAGCAAGTCAAGTCAAGGAACACATGCAGAGGTAGGTTCAACGCACCTTCCGCATGATGCTATGGAAATTACGCCAGCAATAATGGCCCTTTGCTTTTTATTTTCTAATTATTTTATTAATAGAAAAAGCAAGCCAAGTCGAAGTCAAGTCGTGCTTGCGTTGAAACAAAACGCCTGCGTAGGCCCTACGCACCTTCCGCGCAATGCTGTGGAAATTACGCGTGCAATAATTGCTCTTTTCGTGCACCACGCGTCGCAGTGTTTCGGTCTGTTGAAGTGTCTTGGACCGTTTGGATGGCAAGAACTCAGCATTGTTCAAACATGCACAGTTGAGATGTCATTTGTCTCTAAACCTTTTGTCACTATAATGTGTTTGATGTCGACTAGTTTTGACATTTCTCTCAACTCTTGGCATGCACGTGGGTAACACAGTGAGAAGCTTGAATTATTGAGGATAATGCATTTCTTTGATGACTTTATCAAAAATCCGATTTGATGGAAGTTTTCTTTACATAGTTGCTTCCCATTTTTAATTTACTATTGGTGTTTCCAAGTGACAACTTTTGTTTCTTTGTTCAACTTTTTTTTGCTTTAATCTTCTAGCCGGCAAAGTGTAGAAACCATCACACATTTCCTATCGATATCGACATTTGCTCGATTTCATCACTCTATTGTTGTATGAAATCCATTTTCTTTACAAAAAAAGAAGTGACGATAGAGTTAAATGGTAAAAGAGTAACTCCTATGGGAACCATTGAGTAGTTCTTGAAAACATGTTTGAATGGAACAAAAAAATATATGATGTAGCATAGGAAAATCTAGTGTGAAAAAATTGTTTTGGAAGAGATTTATTTTAGGAGTTATTTTTCCTGACCAATCTTTTGAAAAAAGAAAGTTCAACTGTGGATATTTGAAAGTAATGCGTCCTGCGGACTTTTAATAACAAAATCCTATATATATAATCCCACGATTAATATGCTTTTGTCATTGACTCATGCACATTAGTTTTCTTTTCCATTATTTTATTAACAAAAAGAGCAAGTCAAGTCAGGCCAGTACTGTACCACAAATTTCAATGAAAGCACCTGCATGCCCCTTACGCATATACAAAAGGCAAGTAAGGTCAATGACGCGTGCATGAATTGTTCAATGCCCCTTACCACAAATTTCCGTAGCATGCCTCGTAAGTCGTATCAATTCGATTAGCATGAAGAGTCTCGAACCGTTGGATGGCAAGGTCTCAAACATTGTTTTTTTTTTTTTTGGTCGATTCAGACATTGTTCAAAGCACGCATATTAGAGAATGTCGTTTGTTGGTAATCCAACTTCGAAGGCTGAAAATCGGTGGAGATCCCAGGGTTGTGTTGTTTGAGCACTCGTCAGGGAGTCAACTGACTCCTTGCTGCTCTTATCTGTTTCCTGCTTTTAATTGCTCCATTTTCTTCTGATTAAGCAAGAAAGAGTTGTCTGACAAAAAAAAAAACCAAGAAAGAATTGCACACATTCAACCGAGTTTAACATATTGCAACGTCAGCGATTTTTAGCGATTTTTAGCCAATTTTATCTGGAAGGACTAAATTGACAAATCGTCAAAAAATTTGAAACTCAATTGGCAAATTATCAAAATTTTTAGGACTAAATTAAGACAGTTGAAATGTTTAGTACTAAATTGACAAGTTGTCAAAAGATTCATGATTTAATTGACACAATTGAAATATTTAGGATTGAATTGATCGCCATACAATATGTTTAGGATTTTTTGGACAATTTTCCCGAAAAAAGCATTACCGAATATTTATTCGATTGTGGAGAGTCGTCACCGAGAATTTATAGACGCAGTATCGAAAATAAAATTCACATAAAATGTTAAAAGTTATAAATTTAAGGAGAGAGATAAAAAGTGACTTACGTGTGGGATAATGACTAGATAATCTGTAAGAATGATGTGGGATGGAGAAATGTAGTTTGAGAAAATTGTTTCTGAAGGGATTTATTTTGAGAGTTATTTTCCTAGACCAATCTCTTTTGAGAAATAAATAATAGTTTGATCGTGGATGGAACAAACTCACGCGTCCCCCAGACATTTCTATTAACAAAATCCTCGGGGATAAACGGAATCTCTTGTTAGCACGAGGAGCATGGGTGCATTGCTAGTTGGTTTTCTTTTCTATTTTGTTTCTCAAATCTCAATGAAAGCACATGCCATGCACCTTCCGCAGATAATGCTGAGCGTCGGTGGAGATCCCAGCAGGAGCACGTGAGTATTATTGCTTGTTAGTTCTCTTTTCTATTTTTCTATATTAATATAGAAGACAAGTCTAGTCAAGTTGTGCTGGATTTCGAGTTTCGATCAAAGCACCGGGAGCATGTGAGCGTTGCACGTGATTGCATGTGAGCACTGAGCATGTCAGTCTTTGCTCGTTGGGTTCCACACCCCTTCCGCATGATGCTGCGGAAATTTCGCGTGTAATGACTGTTCTTTTCGTAGCATGCATTCGCAGCGGTTCGATTAGCACGAAGAGTCTTGGACCGTTAGCTGGCAGGAACTCGGCATTATTCAAGCGCGCATATTAGTGAATGTTGTGTGCTGGTAATCCCACATTGAAAGCTGAAAGTCAGTGGAGATCCCAGGGCTGTGTTGTTTGAGCACTACTCAGGTAGTCCACGACGCCTTGCTCTTATCTGTTTCCTGCTTTGATTGCTCCATTTTCTTCTGATTTAAGTAAGGGGTATGAGAGTTCTTTTATTTTCGTTTGAATTAACTGAGTTCTGAGAGACATTTGTTCAATTTGCAGATCCGGACTGAGAAATCTGGCTTTCTTTTAACGCTCAGCTCGATCAATCTCCTATTTTAAAACAGAATAAGGATCTCTTTGGTCAAATCACTACATGATGTATATCCAATCAAGAAGAAGGAAATTGATCTCTCCCTTCTCTTTCTTTCTCTCCAATTCCTTTCTTCTCTTTTCCCTTCATTTCCCTCTCAACTTAAATTGCCAATCGAATTGCAAAAGAAAAGAACCCACTCATTCAGAAGATCCGAATTCTGGAGCGTCTTCCTCATCGACCCCTCCGCATGGAGGAGGTGATTATGAAGGTGGAGAGGAACAGCAGAAGGGAAATAACTATGAAGTGTTCTTGAGCTTTAGAGGAAAAGACACTCGTAAAGGCTTTACCGACTATCTCTACACTAGCCTTGTCGATGCAGGAATTCACGTGTTTAGAGACGACAATGAGCTCCGTGTTGGTGAGGAGATTGGTCCAGAGCTTCTCTGCAGCATTACACATTCCACGATCTCGATCGTGATTATCTCTGAGAACTACATTTCCAGCAAATGGTGCCTCCGTGAATTGGCTGAGATGTTGAAGTGCAAGAGAAGTAAAGGGCAGATAGTGTTGCCCATATTTTACAAAGTGGAACCCTCACAGGTGCATCATCTTACAGGGAGATTGGGAGATGCTATAAACGCACATAAAAAGAATGTGGACGAAATGGTTGTGAAGGAATGGGAAGTAGCACTCAAAGAAGTCGGCTCCTTGAAAGGATGGGAATCAGAGAAAATTGATAGCGGGTACCTTATTCTCCAACAAAACATTGTTTAATTTTTCATAAATAGATCTTTCTTGAAAAAGAATATACATATTGCTATCCTATACTAATCTTCATTATTATTTGACAGGCATGAAGGAACATTGGTTAAAATTGTTGTCAGAAAAGTTATGGGCGAGTTAAAAAGACTTTTTCAGCTAAATGTTCCCCAACAGTTGGTGGGAATCGATGATCATGTGCAACAGATTATGAGCAAGATAGATGATGAATTCAATGGTACAAGGATTATTGGAATTTACGGAATGGGCGGCATTGGTAAGACAACTCTTGCAAAGGTGTTATACAACAAGCTCTCTAGTCACTTTGACTATCGTAGCTTCGTGGCAAATATCCGAGAAACATCTCAGCGTATGGGTATTGAATGCATACAAAAGCAACTCATTTCTGCCATAATAGGAAGTTCATGTGATGTGTCCAATGTCGACGAAGGAGTCAGTGTCATCAAATCTCGATTTATGAGTAAGAAAATCCTCGTTCTTCTGGATGATATGGATGATAGTACTCATTCAAATGCTTTAGTTGGAGATGGAAGTTGGTTTGAAGCGGGAAGTATAGTCATCATCACAACTAGAAACAAAAGCATTCTCGATGAAGTTAGGGCGGGCTGCATGTACAAACTCAACGAGTTGTCTTTAGATCAATCATTGATTTTATTAACTAGACATGCATTTCGAAAGGATTCTTCTCCGAATGATTATGAGGTTATCTCTCGTGATGTCGTATCTACTACCGGGGGGCTTCCATTAGCTCTTGAAGTTATAGGTTCATTCTTATGTGGAAAGAGAGAAGAAGTATGGAGAGATACATTAAAGAAATTAAAGAAAGTGCCCGACAAGAAAGTGCAAGAGAAGTTGAAAATAAGTTATGAAGCATTAGATGACGAGGAGCAACAAATATTTTTGGATATTGCATGCTTTTTCAATGGATCACATAAACAAAATCCAACTTACATGTGGGACGCCAGCAATTTTCTCCCGGGGAGGGGGATTGAAGTATTGAGTCTTATGCCCCTGATTAAAATTGACAAATACGGCAAGCTAACGATACATGATCAATTAAGAGATCTTGGAAGGGAAATTGTTCGTCTAGAAAATCCAAAGGAGCCTCAAGAGCGTAGCAGATTGTGGATCAATGAGGAAGCCGTAGATGTGATTAACGGAAACAAGGTAAGACTTTTCTCTACTTGTCTTGGTCAATGAATATGGTTCCATCTTCCCATTCTTGTTTGAAATAAAATAGTTGTGAGTCTTGACTCCCCTAAACTAGCTGCTTCTACTAGCAAAAGAGCTCTTTTGATTAATTATTGTTCTTGCCTTATTCTAGAACATAATTGAGGATCAATTTCTTGGTTATGGGCAATTGATCTATATCTTTACCTAGTAATATGGTGATAAAGATACTCTCCTTTTGGTAATTTCAATGCTACAACAAAACTACAAAAGCAGAATGTTTGACAGATTACTTTTAGAGAAAACCTGACATTTACAAATTGTTGCAGCCATGCCTTCCCCAGATATTTGTTTGATGCAAGTGTTTGATGTTTGGATTCATGTTTTGGTTTCTTGTGAGGCCTTTTTTTATTTTTTATTTTTACTACTTATGAATTGTTTGGTGTGATAACTGAGACCTCCAATCATTTGTGATGATTTAGCTATCTTGGTTCCTGTATTCTTTAAGTTGGGTTAAGTGTAACTCCTAAGTATTATTGGTTGTGCAATTTAGTCGCCCATCTATTTTTGCTCTTGCTCAATATAGTCTTCTAACTTTCACTTTTTTGTGCAATCGAGGCTTTTGTGGCCAATCATTAGTTGACACCGTCAATTTGTTGATGTGACATTTGTATTTATTTATGATATATGAGCAACCATGTAATATAACCCTTTAAACATATATTATTTTCATTGTCTAGACTTTTCATAATAGGGGATAGTCTCTTTCTATGAATTTGCTAATACATTTTCTTTTTGTGACGATGTATGATTTTTCTATTAATTTCCAATAATATGTATTTGTTAAACATAGGCTATCATGTTATAATAATTATTTGTCTATTGTTCAACTCTTACTGAGCATCTTATTTTGCAAAGATTTAGTTAACATTTGTATCATCATTTTATTTTTGTGAAACGAAAATTAGTTTGGGGTAAATGTAACACGGGCCTACCAATTTGTGATTTTTTGTGACATGAAAATTAGTGTGGTGTAGAAGTGGAAAAAGTCTACTAGTTTGAGATTTTTGATATTATTAACCGAAGTAAATATGGTCTTGAATTTTGTGTGATGATAAATTTTCATTATTAGCATGAAAGTTAAAAGGTGATCCATTAAAAGCAATTATAACTAATGGAAGATTTGTACAATCATCAAACAAGCATGTGCAAATGTCATAAGTATCGTTAGTTAAGAAAAACTAAATATTAACATTGGGATGCTAAACATATTGAAATAACAAGACTATTGAAAAAAAATGCTACCGATGCTTTTCGGTGAGCATATTATCATACGAAGGAAAATATAATCAACTGAATAGAACATTGCTTAGAAGTGAAAAAAAAAAGGTATTTATGAAGTTGTTGACAAATATACAATAAATATACAAGAAACTTTTAATGTAAAAACAAGTGGCGTCTCATCTGAAAGAATAAAAGTTTGAAGGAAAAGTTGAAATCACCAAATAGATCGGTAATATTGACTCTCATGATTTGCACTCAACGTGCAATTCAACGCCTAAAACAAAAAACGAATTTGAGTTCCTGAAATATTAGGTTACGACAAAAGAAAAATGCAGAAGACTCAAGTTCCTTACGAATACAATTTTATCAATCTTCATGTCCAATTTGTTCATACGGAAGGTCTCATTAATCTATGGGAAAATTGATCAAAATTTAGATGACCACTACTACACTGTAACAAAATCAACGCGACAACGAAAAGATAGCATCAAACATATGTAGTAATAAAAAGAAAAGTAGGAATCATATATAGAGCATTCGATATTATCAATTTTCCTTCCTCGTACAATGAGAAGACCTCATCAGACAAAAAAAAATGATAAGAAAGGAATGTAAAACATATGCGTACCTTTTGCGATGACATTCTTGTTTTATATTTAGAATTGCAAACAAAGTTTACCAGAAAAAGTGAGGGATGTTACCATCGGGATTCTTTAATTTTGATACATGCATAGATGCCAAGTTTGATAGATGTATTTGGACCGTAAGTGTCGTATTGTTTCACGGAAACAGGATAGGAGTAAAGGTAGTGTTATTTCACATATAAAGGGCATGAATTTTGACAGATATATTTGAATTAGTGTATGCATGAAGAGAGGCCTTCTATTGTAGTTGCAAATTGATGCAAATTTTGGAAATTGAGAAGCTGCAAATTGCGAAGGGCAGAATTGGAAGAGGAAAATTTTTGGAACAACCACTTGAGCTTCTCATCTTTACATAGATTAGATAAATAATATGCAACTACGAATTGTCATTTCGCAAAATTGAAAGGGAGAAGTCTATGCCATAGTAGTATGACAACAAATTGAAACCAGTGCATTTTATCTTATATCAGTTGGTCTCATCTCGTCATTCAAAACTTATGGTCCACAACGTTTCCAAGTTGCAGGCCACTAGAAAGATTGACGCCCTTTCTCTTGGCGAAAGTGGTAAGGGAAGAAGATACACAGCTGAACAATTTAAAGAAATGACAAGCTTGAGGTTCCTTGAAGTGGATGGTGCGAATTTCACCGGAGATTTCCAAAGCTTACTTCCTAAATTAAGGTGGCTTCAGTGGGCGGGATGTCCCTCGGATTTTACGGCGGTCAACTTTCATCCGAAGAAGTTAGTTGTACTCGATCTGTCAAACAGTGCAATTTTGGAGGATTGGGGAGGATGGGTTCAACTCAAGGCAAGACGTAAAGAAGGCATTGAAGTATTTTCAATATAATTTTTTTTCCTTGTACGTATAACGTTTGAAAATTGATTTTCATAATTAGACTAGTCGTTTCTCTTTAATCTCATACTATTGAAGGAATACATGGCGCCCAATGAATGCATCTCTCTTCCATTTGAATTAGTCATCTGCTATTTGATAATAAAAGTTGCTTCTATTTAATCAGTAAACATTTCCTTTGAAGTGTTATTCAGAAACATATGCAGTCGGCACTTGTATATCCCCAACATTCTTTTGCAATTGATATGCTTAAAAAATATTTATATGTTGGCGTAGCCAAACACTACTAAAAGAGACATTTAAAATTTAAATAAGACAACCGTGATGGAGTCGGGGAGCATGGGTATTTTTTGAGGAATTCTAAAAGGTCAAAAAAATAAGGAGTAGTGAAAAATCACAGGCTGCCAGAGTCCAATGACATTGAGGTACCATTTCTTTTTTTCAGATGGCAACCAAGCTCAAAGTTCTCAATCTTGAGAATTGTCTATCTTTGAGAAGAACTCCCGACTTGTCCGTTTTCGAAAGCTTGGAGATTTTGATTCTTGCAGATTGTGGAAATTTGAAAACGATTCATCCTTCTATTGGGGACATCAAGACCCTCATTTCCTTGGATGTCTCTGATTGTAGAAGACTTCAGAAGCTACCGGCAGGAATAGGTAGAATGGTAAAATTGAGGGATCTTCGCATTAATGGCACTCATATACAAAAGATTTCTATTTCGAGAGATTGTTTGATGAAGCTGGAGACTCTATGTGCCACAAGTTGTGAACGACTTTCTCAACTTCCTAAATCTATGGGCTCCCTTGTCTCATTAACTCTATTGGACTTATCTGATTCAGCAATTGAAGAATTACCTGAATCCATTGGTTCTATGAAGAAGCTCGAGACTTTGGATGCCTCTGAATGTAGACTGTTAGCTCGCATACCCAGCTCCATAGGCAAGCTAGCATCCCTACAAAGCTTGTTCTTACGTCGCTGCTCCTCATTGACAGAGATCCCCGACTCGATTGGAAAATTGGCATCATTGATTGAGCTGGACTTAGGATACACATCGATTACGAAATTACCCGAAAGCATTGGGAATATGCCAAATTTGAGGATCTTGGACATAAAGAGAACTAACATAACAGAATTGCCTGATGCCATCGGGAAGTTGGCAAAACTCCAAAGGTTGGGAGCTGGAGTATGCAAAAAACTAGAACGACTTCCTAGTAATATATGCGAATTGGTTTCGCTAGAGAAGCTTTCTTTAGAAGGTTCAGGCATTTTGAGCTTGCCAGAAAGCATTTCTAAGCTCTCTTCTCTCCAAGAGCTCAATGTTTTGTTTTGTGAAAACCTCCGAGAATTACCAGAACTGCCCTCTGGCTTAACAAATCTAAGGATCACCTGCCAGAGTCCGCAGTTGCCCCATCTTTCCCATCTAACCCGTCTCAAGGAACTCGATCTTTGTAGTTGCCCCTGGCTTGAACGTGTCCCAGAGCTTCCCATTGGACTATCGCAGCTAAATATTATGAATTGCAGAAAATTGAAAGCATTGACGAATGTGTCAAACTTGAAGCACTTATCAAATTTGACTCTCCGCAGGTGCTTTGATCTCGCAGAAATCACCGGCTTGGAAGGTTCACATTGCCTATCCAACTTACATGCGGGGCAATGCTCTAAGATATCTAGGGTTGATGGGATTGAAGATTCTTCGACGTTGATGAGCCCAAAGGCATCTCCGCTTGATGGATCGCTAGATCTTTCCGATTCAAAGATTCCGCAGAGAATAGATGTCATAGCAAGTTGTGCGAATTCAGTTGAAATCCAAGACCTTGGTGGATCAAAATCCTCTCAAGTGTCGGATATCCTTAAGTGCACGTCCGCCGGACGATTGCTAGACTTTTCCGGTTTTAAATACCTGAGAAGCCTTTCTGTTCAGAATTGCAATAGTGTAACTGAAATTCAAGGCCCCGATGGATCAGAATCCTTGACATCGTTGTTTATTAGCCGGTGCTCTTCCCTTAGATCGGTGGACCTCTCGAACTTAAAGAATCCGCAGGATTTTCATTTTGACTTTTGCGAAAATTTAGTTGAAATTCGAGGGCTCGAGGGATTAAGACCATTGCAACTTTTCCATATTTATGGATGCCCGTCTCTTAGACAATCACCGGACCTGTTGCGTTTAAATGCGGTGGTGACGTAGGGGTGGAGGTGGTGATGGGGGGATCCCCTTGGAAGTGGAGGTCCGGAGGGAGGTCGGAGGGAGAGAGGTCGGAGCCTGGGCCAGTGGGGGGGAAGGATCACAGACAGAAGAAGGTGTTTCGGATCTCCTCCCATTTTCTCTTCCCATTCCCTCATTTATTATTCTTTCTTTTCTCTTCCTCTTTTCTCTTTTTTTTTTATTCCCCTGCCTCAACTTTTTGTTTACTTAACCGTTTCGTTTTCTCTCTCATCATCAGTTGCGTTCAAGAGAAGGAGAGGGAGGGAGGAAACGGAAGAAAGAGCAGAAGTTTTCGCGACTGAGGGACGGGGTTCACCGAGTCCTCTCTCGTACGTAAAAAAGCGATGGGTGCTCGCAGACTTGTTGCCGATTCCTCGAGCTCGCCTTCCGATATCCAGGAGCGGATCGAGATTGGTTAGTTCTTCTTCTTCTGATCGAATCGTCCTTTACTAGCAATTGTCCAATTTCTGATGCTTGATTCGCCTGCCTGGTTACTTCTTCTTCTGCTTTTTCCTCTAATGATGGAAAGGTTGGGGTTGATGATGTTCCTGCGGAAGTCTAATGGTTGCGCCTAAATATGTAAACAGCGAAGGGATGGCCTGGTGATATCCTTTCTGGAAGGGTACTTGTGTTTACTTATGTAGTGAAATTGCTTGATATCGGCGAGTCTTCATCACCTAAGTAACACAAAGTCAGTTTCCACCATAACCCCTTAGCTCTGGAGGAGACAGCAAACTCAATTGATAGAAGTTTTCAGGGTTTTGGTGAATTCAGTACTTGGTGCTCCTCTTCGTTCTTATTCCGGTCAATAGATCTGTTTTAGGATTTGAATTTATCTTGTATAGGGATGGATTCTTTTTACATAATAAAGAAACCTGGGGGACAACAAATTGAGATTGGGTGCCGGAAGGGGCGATTCTTTATACCGGGAGTAAGAATAACCTTTTATTGCTGGAGTTGGAAGTGGGCTCTACCTTCATGAGAGCTTGGGTTGGGGTAAATGGAAGGTCTTCTGTGCCTCCGCAAACAGCAGTGCAGCACAATGCCAACACCTTTGTACGGCAAGCATCGTTTGTGGCTGGGGACGGAATTCTTTTTTACGTAATAGTGTATAGCTCTTTATTTTTTCTATTTTTTTTCATCCTCCTGTCTTCTTCTTTTCACTGCCATCATCTGGTTTTGTGTTTGCTTTATTCTCTTCTTTACTTATGCCGCAGATACTTCTCTAGTTAACTTTCTTTATGAGATACGAGAGCTTCTTCACTGATGTGCTTCTGCTGTGGTGATACTCATGTTTTTGTCTTCTGCTTTTGAGCTTCATTCCCTCTTTTCAAAGATAACATACAGGGGTTAGTACAGAAAAAGATTAAGAATCTATCGCTTTATACCTTAATTTTCTGTAGAGCCTTATGATCATTGATCTAAAGTATGGTCCAATTTCTATCATTTAGGTTCCATCTTAACAACCTTTACCTTAAGGGTTATATTTTATACTGCAGGGATTGCCTCCTGTATGTGTACTGATTAGATCATGAACAGTCGTTTTGTGTATCTGTGACATGCCATCTATGTATAACTATCTAAAAAACGACTGTGCTTGGCATATCTACCTGGGAATTGGCTCAAGGCAATCTGTTGGGATGCAAGATCTCAGGCCTGGTGCTTGTGCTCTAGAATCTAGTATGGTGGAATCCTCTAGAATCTAGTATTGTGGAATCCTCTTCAGTTTCTCACCTTGTGTTTCTGGATTCTCTCCCGTGATTGCCCCAAATTTTCACTTTTTATTCTCCTATTCATTTATGAATCGCGTTACTTTTTTTTCATGTCTAGTTCAGGATACATTTCATGATATGTCCTTTATGGGGATTTTATAGTGCTTGTGCTGTTTGCAAGTTTTCAAATGGCTGGGATCCTCTTTATAGAGATACCTGTATTTGTATTGTACCTTGCTATTGTCCCTTTTGATTCCTTTCTTGACCATATTTTCATTCTAGAGTGACAAATTTTCCGTGCTGTTAATCAATAGTTCAAATCTAAGTTTTAATTGTGATCTAGACATTATCAAGTCATTCACTTGATTGGCTAGTGACCTACATGTCGCTGTTTTTTTATTGCCAGGCTGTGACAGCAATGGTGCAGCAGGCTATGCAATATGTTGACCAGACACCTGATCTTGAGACCAAGAAAGAGCTTATTAAGACACTTGACTCTGTCGCCACTGGGAAGGTGAATTTGTGAGATTAAACTCTGTTGCAACTTATGTTCATCAGCTATCTGCTTTTGTTTCGCGGTTTCTTAGCTAGTTTCGTAATGCAGATATATGTCGAAATCGAGAGAGCACGGTTGATCAAGAAACTTGCAATAGAAAGGAAGAACAAGGTCTTATAGCAGAAGCTACTGATTTGATGCAAGAAATCGGGGTAACTAGAAGTTGACTTCTGTTGTCACTGATCTTGTAATTGGTTTTTCGTTGTCCAACATTCCTATGATGGGTTTGAAATGCAGGTAGAAACTTTTGGAGCAACAGCAAAGACGGAGTAAATTGCCATTATTTTTTAACAAGTAGGGGTTTTTTGTATTGCTTTTAACCGTTTGTACACTATTACAATGATTGGTTTTGATCGATGGATTTTGCAAGTTTGTCTGTGCACAGATCGCCAGGATTATGTCCGTGCACATATCCTTTCCAGGAAGACCAACCCCCGAGTGTTTGATGCAGATCCTTCCAAAGAGAAGAAAAAGCCTAAAGAAGGTGAAAACATTGTGGAACAAGCGCCAGCTAATATACGTGAGTCATCGTATTCCGTCTCTTCTGGAGTTGAGATGGATATACCATGACTCATAATACGGCAAATTGGTGTTTTGCTTTTTCTAATGTTGTGTCCACTTTCTTTCAACTAATTTGTTTTTGCCGATCAAGTGCCACCTGGTATTCAGGCTGTGGTTCAAAACATGAACTTGTATGGCTTTATATATCTGGCACATACTCTTCTTCCTTTCTAGCTTTATTGCAAACTCTGACGTTGCAGCTGTACTTGATGGATTTGAACTCACATCTCAGTTTACCTCGCATTTATGTGGTTAACGATGTAGGTATTACTCACATAACAATGATTACCTTGAGATTTGTCTATACTATGAGGCGATATATGAGATTCTATCAGTAAAGGGCAACCCAGAGCAGTGGATACTGGTGAAGCTCTTTCCTTGTTAAGTCGTCACTGAGTTTTTCAAGGCACAGCTGTTCATTCTGTGATTTAATTATATGTAGGTTCTAAGGAAAATCTGCTGGTACTTAGTTCTATCACCACATGATCCTATGCAGTCAAGCCTTCATAATGCCACTTTAGACGATAAGCATCTCTCAGAAATTCCCCAATTCAGGTACTATCTTTGAATTGGTCTAGGAAATTGGTTGTACATCTTGCAATATCTCAATAATGTGCCATAGAACTTGGTTAACCATGCCTTTGATATTTTAAGGCAGGTTGCTGCTGAAACAATTGGTCACGGCGGAGGTTATCCTATGGCCTCCTCTTTAAAGTACTTTCAAAGATGAATTTGAGAATGAGAAAACATGCTAGGAGGTGCACTTGTTAAGAAGGTAGCAGAAAATCTTAGACAGGGCCCAATCATAGTCAATAGAAGAATTTCGGCTTCTTATGGGCGAGACAAGCAACCTTTGGCTGGGAGCCTCTTCAAAGAATCAACATGTAATTACAGAACTTTGTCATTTTTCTTCTTTTCATTGGATCATCATTCAGATGTGACTCACTCTATTTTCTGCAGAATATTATTGTCGTTTTGAAATACTACTCGAGGATTACCTTAAAGAGACTTGCAGAGCTGTTATGCCTCAGTATCCAGGTCTGATTATGTGGAACATTTGTTGATGTTCTTTATCAATGTCACTCTTTATGAATGATTACCTAGACCCCTCATTTAACCCTGAGCAGCCTCTCTGCCTGTGATCCCTGATTGGGGCATGGTTGCTGCACTTGGATATAAGTTCCAAAATGTGTGTAAAAGAGGTTTTGGTGCGATGAAAGCCGAAGGCTTGTCATGAATTTGAGAATGTTGTCTTCATAGTTTTGTTTCATAAACATTTCTGACCGACATATATGTGTACACTTGGTTTAGTCAACTTCTACTCATAAATTTGTTGTAGCTGTAAGTGTCATTGTCTGGCATTGTGAAACCATTTCTTGTTCCGTGGAGCCTGAAATTCTAATGCGCTTTTTCTGCTAGTATTAACACTTACCATTTCCAGTGTTCAGAAAATCTTTATAGCTGAATCACTCAAGGAAAGAGCTCTTTTTTGGGTTCTCTTACTGCTGTTGTTAAGAGCTTTAATCAATCACATGCCTCAATTTATTGTTAAGAGCTTTAATCAATCACATGCCTCAATTTATTAAATCAATACTATCATCTGATAGACAGTCCATATAATGATAAGTATACAAGCTCGTATGATATTCTATCCGCATGACCTCTTACTTCTATATTACCATTTTAGGAAGCTGAGAAGCATCTCTCCTTAATGGTTGTTTCCAAGTCCCTGGTGGCAAAGATAGACTGACCAATGGGAATTGTCAGTTTCCAAATGATAAAGGACAGCAATGAGATTTTGAACTCGGGTGACAAATTTGGAAAAGCTGCTCGACCTTGTCAAGAAAAGTTGCCACCAAATCCCCAAGGAAACCACGGCTCATAAGGCTGCTTTGAGAGCTTGATGATGTTTTTAGTTGAATGAATGATCTCTCTCCCCTTGAGCCTCCCTCTCTCTCTCTCTCTTACCGAAGAATGCTGTTTCACATTGTGGTCTGAAGTGGGGACCGGAGATATTCACCATGGAACTCTTACGTACCCGTCTTAAATTTGATTGCATATTTTGCAGGGTGACCAGATGCGGGCCTTGTTTCGGACTGAAATGATATATTGAATACACTTTCTGTATAGGAATGTAGTTTGGTCTTTTCATCTTTCTTGTTTCCTCTTTCCCCCCTCCTTTTAATTGAAGATTTGTGGGCTTTCAGGGTCCAGAACTTGTACCAATGGAACAGTCGCAGCACGAGATGTGCACTCATTTGGACTAAAATAAGCACCTTGTTACAGAATTGTGTTTCGCATGACAAATATTGCTGGTGCTTGTGTTTTTCTAACGTCGGAGATAACATTAGCTCTCCAGATTAAAGGCTTAATGAATGCTACTTTTCCATTTCATTTCACATTCGAAGTGAGCACCTGTTTCTAGGGAGCTTCATTTCAATATGATAACTGCACTTTTTATTTCCTCAAAGGACGTGATTTTTCTCCAAGTTGATACTTGATACGGAATGGACCTTGTCCTATAGATTTCCAACTCCTTCATTTTCTTCATGGAAACTGAAAAAATTGGGAAAAGCTGTGGCCACTACATCTTTTTGCTGTGGAAATAGTTATGCCCACTAAGCAAAAAGCACCATTTTACTTTCTTCACAAAGTAAATGTATTTGTCATGTTTTTTAAACAATGCGACCGTTAAACTTACTTAGCATAAGTGAGACAAAGAAAACGAGTGATTCTCAATGTAGTAACTTTTCTCGTTCTTTGTGCCGCTCAATGCTTTGGAAATTACATCAATCATCATAAGATACATTTAAAAGTTATTCTTGAAGTCCTCGTTAGCATATCAATTATTCATGAGAAGTAAATAGTTTTTCAAATCCTACATTCAAGAATGACGTGGTAGTGCCTGCTTTTCCTGACTGCTTGAATTGGGTTTTCATCATTCTGGTATAATTCAACTGCAACTCTTTTGTCTGTTCTTTTATGACTGCTCAAAGTAATTTAATGATTAACATGTGAATTATTAAGGAAGCTTGTGGAGGCAAAGTACAAAAACACTTAGGCAAAGGAGAGAGATCCTTCATCCTGCAGAACCTCCCATTGTATAAATCAGTTGCCTTTGCTCTCGAAAAAATTGCAGTCGCAACTGCGAGAGCTAAGACTGAGTTTTTGTGCTAGCCATTTTGGCCGGGCTTGTGTTATAATTTCAGGTTGAGGTCGCCCTTAGATCTCCATGCTTTCTCTTCTTTGTCGAAGGTGCGGTTTTCGAGCGCAAACATAGGTGGTAAGCAAATGTCGCGAACGATGCACATGGACTGTGTAGCGAGTCACTAGCTTTGTTCCTTCGACTTAGTACAATACTTTCTGAGTGGTTGGTGAGCGAGACTGTGATCGAAAATGAAGGAAGCAGGTGTGAATCGTTCATTCTCTGTCAGAATGACGCATTCACATCCGTTTCTTGATGGAGTGAAATTAGTCGATTCTAAAATGTTGCTCGAACGGATTGGGAGATGGCGTGGGAATGAACGCGGCACCGTTAAGCTCAAACCATTTGCATTTCTTTAGTCTTTCCAAAGAAAAGAGAAGAGCCGTGACTCAGAAAAAGCATTTTCGGTCAATGTCATCTGAGAATCAGCCGAATTTGTTTGTACCAAGTGTCTAAACAGCTTAGAAAACTATGTTTCAGTGTGTAAGCTCAACATCTATACACTAACATCGACTCAGACATGCAAAATACATTCATGACGTACGCACCATTGGAAACGACTCACGACGAGAAGAGATCGGTGTTGCACCACACCGATCCTATATCTGCTCTTCGCGAATTCCACGGATAACTCGCACGATTGCCCACGAAGAAAGGGATCGGGGCAATTGTGAGTCTTCCCGAAGAAAAGAGAAGCACCGGGACTCGGAAGAGCCTTTTTGGTCGATGCCATTCGGGAATCGGGTGAGCTTGTTCGTACCAAGAGTCTGAACCTCAAGAGCTAGAAAACTATGTTTCGGCATGTAACCTCAGCATCTGTACATAAACATCTGCCCCGACATGAAAGTAGCATTCACGATAGATGAACCACTAGAAAACGACTCTCGCGAAGAGAGAAGATCAGTGTAGCATCACACCATTATATGCTCTTCGCAAATTCCATGGATAAATCGCGCCAACGGTCTTGTGTATACATACAAGATTGTGCAAGAAGCCTGCAACTTTTGCTAGTTGAAGGACATAAAATCGACCCATCTCCGGTCGAAGCTGGTCGGGAATGGTTACTGATTTAGTCCGCTACTTCTCGGCTTTTGGTATGAATTTCGTTCTTTTAGTTGAATACCAGAAATAGGGAAGATGGTAGTATGGCAGCGAGGGCGAGCGACGAGCAGAACTCTTATTTCTCATTTTTATTCTAGAAATAGAAAAGTTAAGAAAATTTTTACTTCTCATTTCTATTTCAAACCTATTTCCGAAATCAAAATCTGTTCCAGAAATAGAAAAATAAAATTGCGTTATCAAAACGAATTTCTATTTCAAACCTTTTCCTGGGAACACAGAAAAATAAAGAAATAGAATGGTTATCATGCGCGCCCTAAATTTCTAACCACCCTTTTGATCGATGAATTACACATTGCTGGCACCATTCACATGCAAAATCGACTAAATATAAAATGCGAACGGT